GACAAATTCGAAATTATTCAAGAAACAGATTTCACGGCTTACTTTTGTGACCAGGCTAGTAGACTGCTGCAGACAAAATGCTGCCTATGAAGATCGAAGGGGCTGTCCTTGCCACATCTCACCGGAAGATCACCCTTTTTTTGTGTATCTTCCCCTATACTCCCACACACATCAACCACACGGACGATATAAAATTATAGGCGGGAGATATCCCCGCGAACACTCTGTACATATTATTTCTACCTCACCAGTGTAGTGAAAACTATGTCGATAATATCAAGAGAGGTATCTAGACCATCAGAAAAGAAGGAATATCATTAAATCACCATCTATTTCAAGTCAGAATATATTATTGCCTGTTATTATTGTTCGGATTTGAAACTTCGAATATTCAAACGCGGTCATGCGCAACTGAGGACCATTGTAGACCTGAATAGTGGGGCGAAATACGTCATCATCTTCTTCCCGTGCGATGACCCTTTATCACCATGTAACATAACCCATAACGCCCATACTTACAAGGAATTAGTGCCAAATCAACAAACAGGTACATAATGGCGAAGATACAGAGTGCCAAATCATCATAACGAGATATAGTGCTGATTGTGAGCCGTTACAGCCCGTATTCGTGATGATAGCAAGGGAACTATGGGTCAATGTTCCATGATGACAATGTTGAAAATTCGAGAAGATGCATGCAGAGGTTCGCAGATAGTGGTCATCCGTCATTAGTGTCATTACCGTCAATAGAGACTAAACGTCATCAAGCTGACAGTGACATTTTCAATAATTACAATAATTACATAACAATGATATTTATTTGGAAATATAACGGCAACAATAATTACAAGAATGATACTCGAAATTTGGCGAAATACCTGTGGACTGAATCAGTCATGTGCGACAATAGGGTATATGCGTGTGAAAATTTTACACTGGAATATATTTTTGTTCCATTACTTATATGTATAGATGTCGAATTATACATCCGAAAAACATTATTAAGCACCAAATATTTAATAATTTCTGATTGAAAATCATAATATCTGCAACTTTCCGACCAACAGCCGAACTGCAGCGATGATTTCCGAAATAGGACTTCTTATTGCATGTTGTTCCAAATATATATTACCACCTATCAATTTATATCTCATATAGTTTTCCATATCTTCTTCAAGCTGAAAACGAAATCACATATTATATTATTCTCCTAATAACATGAGGAACATAATCATTAATACATACATAATGGGTTTCACTAGGACATACTTGAACGTATACTCACTTCGAGATGGTCTTCACAAACAAATCCTCTGGTTTTCTCGGATAAATCATTTCTACTTATGGCTTATTGCAACCATAATTTCCTTCTCTCTTTATTTTCATCACTCGATCCCACTGGCAATGAAAGGAATATTTTTCCTGGTGATACTTTTGTTGATGAAAGGCATTGCGGCACTAAACAGTATTTTGTATAAACATTATCATTTTCAAATTTCTGGCGTTTAAAACTGTTTTCTTCTCCTACCTCTTCTTCTTCTTTTTTTTTTTCAATCTGAATATTGTCATTCTGTCGCGCTAGTCTATGGCTGTGCGGCCTAATACTATGACGTCATAATATTAGTGATGGCCACTAACCTGTTTTCCTGTGACTTCATATTTAGCCTCATTTAAATGAAATTTTTTAGAGTCACACGCAAATTTGAGATTAATGAATGATATCCAATGTTATTATAAGGAAGAAGGAATATCATTTCGATTAAACAAAAAATCATGCGTATTCCTTATTCCAGGAACCAACTACCTACCAAAATTTGAAAACAAAACATTCTGACCAAGAGGTATGCAATAACGATAACTAGTAGGCTAAAAATCACAATATAATTCCTTATTTACAGCAAAAATTGAGTTAGAATCAATAACAACGAACAGAGAAATACCAATCGATAGCCAGTAGTAAACATCACAGATGAATTCAATTATGAACCAATGAAAAAGAGAGTGAAAAGTAGGTAAATAATAATGGATAGCTCTGTTTTCTGCAGTATTTTCGTAACGTCATGAACGAAGTGTAACAGGTTACAAGCTAAGGGCATAGATCATCCAGAAAAGTTAATGAAGAATGAACTATGGGAAAAAATAAGTATTCAGTTGCCGAAAAAAATATATCATCTAGATATTTACGCCTGAGAACATATATTGAGATTACCACCTTACCATTGCCAATATAATGTCATAGAAATGGTGTGGTCAGAGGCTAAAAGGATTTATGACGCCGAAATCATCAAAAATAAATCATCCCCGGGAGATGTGATAATGGTCTGGTCAAAGGCGTTAGAAAAAGTGATATTTTCGGCATGGGAGACGGAGAAATACATAGATGCTTCCAATATTGAACCTGTCGTAATAACTTTCAATTAAGATGAGAGCGATACGTTATCGGAGGAAGGGTCAATGAATTCAAATGAAACTATTTGTTTTTGAAAAATGTTACTTCCTGAATAATTCATATTAAATTAAGTTGATGTTGACGAAGAAACTGTCTATATTTATGTTCTTCGAGAAGATGCAGATTTCATCCACGGATGAGTATTTCCTGAAATGTCAATGCGTTTGACAATTCAATTTCAGGATCTGAAGGAGAATTTCTGGATAATAGTCAGTACACTTTGTAGAGATGTTGAGAATGATCGAAGATTTCTTTTAATGAAAAGTATAAATATCTATGAACTGGAAGTTTCGGGAACCAATCTGTTTCCGTTGTCATCATAAGATTCTTGCAGAAAGCCAAAGACAAAACATTTGTTCGAAAGAATTTCATGTTGATAATGGATACAGAGTGTTTTCCGAAACCTCTAGTTGATATAGAGAGAAATACATCTTCACATATTGTCTTTATAATTTTTTCCTCAAATACCTTTCAAAAAAGGGCAATTCGTTTCGTGGGTGATGCCTCGCTCACAAACTCAAGTACTTCTCTGGAACACCGTAGAAAAGTTGGCGATCTGGCTCTATTTTATAGATATTTTCATGAACAATGCTCTTCTGAAATATCAACAATTGTTCCTCTCTTGGCAGTCCCCGCGAGATTAACCCGTCGAGTTGAGGCTTCGCACTCTCTCGTGGTCACTTTAGAGACCTGCAGAACATCTCTTTCCAAAGACTCGTTCATCCAACGAACAGTGAGGCTCTGGAACACATTGCCAAGGGAGGTGTTTCCCGAGGCATATAACCTTCAAAAATTTAACACCAATTCCTACCTTATTTTCCTTGGTTCTCACGATGGTCTCTGAATATTACAGGATATTCATTTTCGTGAGAACCAGAACATAAAAAAAAACATCTTATTTCACGAAGTGTCACTGACCATCAGCGGCAAAAATTATTTCAGGTCTGAAAATAAATTAAACACTTCGGGCCAAAGAAAAATCTTTGCCCACTCCCAGTCATCCACAGATACTTTTATATCTCTATAATTTTTTTAGAAATGAGGGGAGAAAACTAATAAATCTTTTTGATATTTTTTTTTGCCAAAGCATTAATCGCTTGTAAATATATTTTCGAAAAACAGATTGAAGTCATATTTTGGATTGCAGCTAATATTTTAAATTTTTATTATCGCTTAAGACAAACGAAAGAGAATCACTATTTTATGTTCGTAGAACATCGTCCGTCCCTGGGGTGGAAAGGGAGAGAAGGTAGGTATTGGAATATCGAGAGTTATCCTTTGTTCATGGTGCAAGAGATCTCATGTCCGAATTTCGTATTTTCAACATTTATTTCGGGTAGGTATTGAAAACATCCCGTCAGGTTTCTCGAAGTGATTTTCCGCGACAATACTGTTCAGTGTTCAACTATAGTTATTTGTTTTTTTCAGGTGAATATATATTACGAATCTTTGAGAAAAAAAAACATGGGAACTTATAATGGTACGCACATACACTCCTATATTCGTTCTCGTGAACTTCCATAAACTGCCACCAGAAATTCTAGTCTTTTGTTTTGTGACTTGGTGTATTTCCACGACTTTACCATTCCTTCACAGGGTTTCCAGCAATATTTTGAATGGACTCAAAGGAGAGTGACGCTTCAGAATATTATTCCAATAAACATACAGGTTTCAAACGATTGTTTTTTTTTGCAAAGTCTCAATAGAGGTTTGGTTCTCTTCTGCCGCGTTCGGGTTTTGGTAATGTGTGAACCGTTCTGAAACTGTCCTAGGATTCGAAACGACTGCGTACTAGTTCTGCGCAGTTCAAGAACGATTCTTCAACAGTTCTGAAATCGGAACACGAATGAAGTCATAAAATGTATTTATAAACCACATTTTTTGGAATCAAGCCAAGGGATCTGCTAGATATTGACGCCTCTCCAAAATAAAAGTTTGCATTTTAATCCATTTCACTAAAAATAAGGAAAAGCACTCAAATCTTACTTTCAATGGCAATTCTGATATCCATGAGCATTACAGCAAACAAAAGTTTCAATCGGGTTCCGAATTCAGAACTGTTGAAGAATCGTTCTTGCGTCTAAAATTTTGTAGCTATAATTTTGATTACATTGACTTTTTTGCTGACGTACTGTTTTTGAGATATGAACGATAAATCAAAAAAGGGGCCTTATACGCCGCCAAGTGCAAGCCACCTTGTAAGTTCGGGGACTATTGGAATTATTACTTTTTATCTACTCCGAACATATCCCTAGTCTTCAAAAAACTGTCCTCTTTCATGTCCCCTACAACCCGCTCATCTAATGAACTAAATGGAATAATTTTATACAATTCATTACCGAATGCATTGAAAATATGGCATGATTTTATTACTAAGAATTGAAATGTAATAATTTTAATCTTGAGAAAGAGTATGAATTGTTTTATTGGTGTAATAAATAAAATGAAAATGTCAGCCCTCTGGGAGTTGGACATTCAGTCATGAGGCTAATGATCCTACTATTAGGATACAAAGACATCCCCATTCATATGTTCGAATTTTGTTTTTCAGGAGTGGGATACCAATGGAGATTCCAGCTAGAAAATGATGAAATTTCGCTGGTAATATAGATGATGAACAATGACAAAACGTGTAATAATTGTGTATAAAGGTGTCATGTCATATTTTCAAACTCCTGGGATATTTAATGTAACGCGTTTAGAACTAGAACATTCACAATTACTATTTTATATTGTTTAGTAATATTGCATAATTTAGTTGAAAATAAGTTGATTTCTTTGATGAATACCCTGATTCACTGAATCGTAAAATGTCTTAGACAATTTAGATCTTGTGTACATAACACCTTCATCCACCTTTTTATCCAACTTTCAATCAACAATGTTATATGGTTTATCCTGCATTGAAGAGTCATGATGCTTGTTAGCTTGAATTTTTAGTTAATAGATATGTGAACTGTATATTGATAGGTTTAATGAATTTTATATAAACTACATTCATTATGACATTGATTGAAATTAACTTCCTCTATTATTATTATTTTTTTTATTATTGTAACAAAAAAGAAATATAAAGGGCTCTTCTAACATACCGCCCGCCTTGAAAAAACTATGTTTTCAATATTCAACAGTGTACATATAAATAATAAAATATAAATAATAGATAAATAGATACTGTCTGTAGGTTAATCAAGGAGGTGGTACATTCATTATTCCAGATTTTTTGGAATTTTCTCCTCGTTCCTATAAAATAAAAATATGAATATTTTTTCAATATACGTGTAGTGAGGACAAATCCGATGATTTGAACTAAAATGTCACTGCGTTTAAAGAGTTTTCCTATAAGAGAGCCTAAAATGAAGAATTCAGTCAGTGACAATTTGTATTGGAAAAAGTTTGGAGCAGAGAAATGAAGGTATATAGAAAAAATATCAAATTTTTACTTTGCTTTGGACGGAGGCAATAGCATTGCTTCTTGTTCGGTAGATATAGATAGAAGATGGTATCCACTATTGAAATCTGAAAATGAAAATGGTAAATTCAAGATTGATTAATGAATACATCCTGTAACTCATTTGATTGCCAACGTCACCAATTGTCACTGAGCAGTGAAAGTGTCAGGACAAATACAAATTTGCGATACAAAAAATCTTTCATTTCTCTTCTCCGAACTCTTTTCAATACAAATTGTCACTGACAAGCTAGTTAATTTTTCTTTTAGGCTCTCTGATAGGAAAATTCTTTAAATGCAGTGACATTTTGGGGCAAATCATCTGATTTGTCCTTACTACACGTATATTGAAATGATATCCATATTTTTATTTTATAGAAACGAGGAGAGAAAATCCCAAAAAATCTGGAATAATGAATAGGTAGATAAATTACTGCTTTCAATAGATCAACAGTTAATTATCACTATTTCCCAAAAGTAAAGCATACACTTGCCAGTAATGCTGCACCATTTTCTGCAGCCTTTCAAAACTCTTCAGACGATTTTCGGTAATTTGTAGAGGATTTACTCCAGGAAGTGCTGTTAGTGATCGACCGATCAACAAATGGGATGTTGTTAAGGCCGTAAGGTCGTGGGGATCATTGGATAAAGGACAGGGTCGCGAGTTTGAAATCGCTTCGTTTTGAGTGAATACAGTGACAAACTCTTCAAATGTCAAACTACTGTTACCCACCACTCTTTTAATATGAAATTTATACCGGCCTCCCAAATACTACCGAAAGTTGGTGATCTTGTGGGAATCATTTTCCATTTAATATTATCAACCAATTGATTGCCAATGATTTCATTTTCTTTCTTAAGAAAATCACATGTCTGTAAAAGGTTGGGACGTGGCTCGGCTGTAGACTCCTGGAAAAAAACAAGTTGATGTAGGCCAACTTACCTATATCCAAAATCGTCTCGTTGAGTTGGTACAAGTTTTTTTATAAAAAAATAATTCTGCTCATATAAAGGGTAGGCTGTGATCGATTTTCATAATTTTTGGCATGGCATGTTCTGTGACTGTAAGTCACGTTTTGAGATGTTTTTGATCATCATCAGTGACCCGCAAGTGTTTCAAACAACCATGTTGCCGCACAAATTTGGTGATAACTTCTCAGAGGTCAGACTGGAAACTTCCAGTTTTTATTCCAGAGATATTCCCTTCAGAAATATTTTTTGTATCGTGTTAATTTTTGATGCCTCGAAGTTCATTTTGTAAAATTTGTATATCGCTACTTCAAAGTTGGGAACAAACTCCCCAGAAGTCGAAACTTGTGCGGGGTTAGGAAGAGCGGGACCTACAGCTTATAATGGAATTCGAACCACTTCTAGGGCAAATGAATAATTTCTGGTCTGATGCATCTTGCGCATTTTTTAAAATTAATAATAATGCACATTAATAGCAATAATGAGTCAATAATTGATTAATAATAATTGTTCGAAGTGGCTACCATTCTCTTGAATGTATTGATTGATCCTACGTAAAAAATTGATCTGTACATTCTGCAGCACTTGTCGATCATGCTCGATTTCTTCTGCGGCGTTTCTAATTTTCGTCCAAAGTTAATTTTCCGTGTTCACAGGAGTAGAGTATTCGCGAGATTCACGAAGTGGGCGACATCTAGGTTACATAATACGAACTTCAAACTGGGGGAAAACAAACTGTTGTCTATGGATAAAGTGCATACATCTTGCTGTAGCTGTAGTTGTCCAAACTTGTCAATGACATAAAGTGTTATCACTCTTATCAGTACACAGTACACATGCTAATGGCACTAATGGGATTGAGTGAGGATTGAGTTTGTTTTCCCCCAGTTTTGACGTGGCTTTGACATGGAACGATGAAAACCGAGCGCCACCTGGTAACATTGATTCCCGCGAATACCATGGTCTTCAATGTTCCCTACAAAAACGAATCACAAATGTTTGAATCCGGTGATCGAGTTGGGCATTTTACAGAGGTGTCAGCTCGCCTGCCAATCCATTCATCAGGAAACTGTTCGTGTAGGTGGTTCCGCACAGTTAATGGAAAATGAGGAGGCGCTCCGTCATGTAAAACCACATGTTATGTCTGAGATCTAATGGCAAATTCTCTAATTAGCCCGGCGGTAATCTATGCTGGAGGAAATTTAAATAAATTTCACCGTTCAACCTAGCGGGTAACACAACGGGACCTATGAGATATTCGCCGATTATTCCTGCCCATACATTGAGTCGAAACTCTTGCTGAGAATGGCGTTGTCTGATCGCATGTGGATTTTCATCTGAGTACACATGTTTGTTGTGTGAATTTGTTATATTATACCTCTTCTGGTAAAGAACGCTTCATCGGTGAAAAGAATTTTATTATGAAACTGAAGATCTTCAGCCGGACTTTCTTGAATGAATCTACAAAATGTTAGCCATGATTCGGAATCTGCTGGTAGGCGTTCTTGTACACTTTGAAGGTGATAGGGATGTAGAGTTGCTCTTTAATAACACTGTGGACTACGTCTTTACAAACTCCCATTTCATGAGCCATACCACGAGTTCTTCTTCCAGGATCTTCTTCTTCTCTACAATGTTCTCTTCCATTTGTGGATTGCGAATTGCACGAGGGCGTTCACAATTCACCTAGGATGGTTTGAATTTCCATTTTCACGAAGACGTCTCTCAATTCTTGCGAATTTCTTATGATTCGGCACCAGACGATTAGGAAACCTTTCTTGGTGAACTCTAACGCTTCTTCGACAATTTCCTTCACCAAAACCAAGGACCAGCAACATATCAGTTTGTTCACCATAAGATTACGTTGTAGCCATCAACGATAAACTTAACAAGAAACAAACAAATAATAAGAAGAAACAAGATACTAAAACAAATAATAATAAGAAACAAGAAACTCTAACAAAAAACTCTGGGTATTAAAATTCCACAATGAAATTATGTTATTTTGACAAGCAAATGAGGGATAATACTCATTTGAAGTTTGAAGAATATGTATTCCAGCCAACTAGAAATTTTTTCTTAAAAATGCATCAGATCAGAAATTATTTATTTGCAAATGAACCTGGAGACTTATCAAAAATTAGAACTGTACAGAAAATATTTCTGGAGAAAATATCTATACAAAAAATATTTCTGAAGGGAATATCTTTCTGAAAAAAAAAACTAAAAATTTCCAGTCTAACTTTTGAAAAGTTATCACCAAATTTGTACGGCAACATGATTGTTTGAACCACTTGGAAGTCACTGATGATGATCAAAAACATCTCAAAACGTGACTTACAGTCACAGATTATGCCATGTCGAAAATTATGATTATTGATCTCAGCCTACTCTTTTTATGAGCAAAATTGTTTTTTTTTTTTTTTCAAAAAACTTTTACGCCTTGTTTCAACTCATTTTCATCCCAGGAGTCCACAGCCGAGTCATATCCCAAGCTTTAACAGACATACAGCTCATTTCGACAACCTACAAAATTTGTATCATCAGAGAATAAATTCGATGGTTTACCCCTTCGGCTGATGAAACGTTTCAATGTCGCATTAAAGGCTGCTTAGTTCTGATACTAATTCAAAATGTACTGCCTTTGAAGACATACATACAAATAAACAGAAATATGCCATCGAAATTTCAGGACCTCGCGTTTTCCGATTCTTTATCATCACAGGACCACCATAATCCAATCCAATATTCAAAAATGGAGCACAATCAATCACTCGAAAATCAGGTAAGTCATTCATAATATAATTTAATTCTCTAGGTTTGACTCTAGAACAGGTTATGCAATTATGATTTATTTTTTGACAGGCTGGCCAATATTTTTTCCGCAAAACACATAACAGATTTTGTGCACCGCACTGCATTAATCTCACATGTCAGATTGAATTCCTCACCAGAATGAAAACGGCTCTTGTTTCACCTATTTTGAAAAACGGAAATTCTCCTATATTATCAAAAATTTTTGAATATGTAACATTAAAACAACTACTTGGTTTCATGAAGAGAGACAATACAATAGTCAAAAATCAGCACGGCTTTCGTACCGCACACTCTACTGTCACAGCTATTCACAGCTTCTATGAAAAAATACTAGATTCACTGGAGGCAGGCGAGAGCGCGGTTGGGATTTTCTGCGATCTCAGCCGTGCTTTTGACTGCGTCCAGCATGATATTTTACTTGAAAAACTCCACATGTATGGAAACCGTGGCCGAATTCATGAATGGTTTTCATCATACCTCGAGGGACGTTCTCAGAAAATCAAAATAAATCATGTGGAGAATAATGAGAAAACGATCGTTATTTCTAGTGAACTTCCGGTTGGAATTGGATTCCTCAGGGATCAGTACTGGGGCCCATTCTGTTCACACTATACGCCAATGAGTTGCCTCTGATCCTTCCAAATGCATTCACCTGTTTATATGCAGATGATTCTACATTATTATTCACAGGCAAATCTGATACTTAAATTCAAAACAAAATTGATGATAGTATTCAGTCACTTTGTAGTAG